CCCCTAACCACCTCCAGATACACTGATCGTGTCCAGAAATTTTTTTTCACAAACTTAAGTAGACACTGACTCCTCCCTATCAGCACTTGTCCCGCCCCTCATTGCTCTAACTCCTCCCCCTTTATTTCACTACGTACCATGATGAGCGCTAATAAAACAATGTCTCCCCATCAAAGTTCATGTTGTGTCATCAATCTATGTTTGATGTCCGGGGGGTGTGGGTGGGGCTGTGGGTGGTCCTTCTTTGAACACAGGTGTGTGTGTGTGTGTGTGTGTGTGTGTGTGTGTGTGTGTGTGTGTGTGTGTTTTTCCTTCAGACTGTGAGTGTAATGGTCACTCCAACCGCTGCAGCTACATCGACTTCATCAACGTGGTCACATGTGTGAGCTGTAAACACAACACACGGGGGCAGAATTGTCAGTACTGTCGCCTTGGTTACTACCGAAATGCCTCGCTGCCGCTGACTGACGAGAACGTCTGTGTTGGTCTGTAACATGCACACAAACACAGAGACAGAGCTCAATGTGAAGTTAGAAACCTGTAAAACATCTAAAGGTTGAACCGTAGCTCTGGTCTTGAGCTCTTCTATGACAACCAGGTCGAACATGTAAAAATCTCCTCAGATGTCTTCACACAGCTCTGACTTTATAAGATACCAAAGTGTATTCTCATCAAACGGCAGCACAATGTTCCACAGGTCAGAAGTTGTCTTATCACATTAGTTTATGTTGATATCTCACAGTGAGTAACCCATCTGAGCCAGACCTAAAAGGTAGAATGGAGATCATTTATCTTTCAGGAGCAGGACCACACCTCTGTACACGCCCCATCCAGTTCTCTGTCTATAAATGACCAACCCCACTGCTGCACTGTGGCACTACAAGCTATTCATACGCATTTTTGTCAGTATGTGGGGATCTGCCCAGGAGCCACTGCCAGTTCCCAAACCACAGCTTAATTCATGCTCACGCCATCCACTGTTATCTACTAAAAACACAATCTGTTACGTCCCAGTCTAGGAATACAGGAGCGCAACATGAGGGTTAAAAGGAAAGTGACCCCGCCTCGCTCCCCAGAGCCATATCCAGAAGCCAGTTTACAGGTTAACCTGTTAGCAGTCGGACGTACCGCCCACGGTACATTGGATGGTTTAGGGGACTAATTGGACTGCTAAGGGGTTAAGGTGCTTTCATTGCTACGAAAAACTGAAAACTTTAACTCTGGGGTGAACACAGGCCAAAATAACAAACAAAGCAAGCTATTCCAAAAAGGGAGGTGCTACCTAAACCCTGGGAAAAACAAAAACCAACTCCCTGATTTAATAAACAAGAGCAAAAAGTACAGAAAATAATAAGGCAGCTTCAGTACAGTGTCTACAACCGACATACAAAACTTAATGATTCTCTAAAGTCACACACGGACGTTTATCAAAGATGGTTTGGAAGCCAAGGATGGTCTGGTGCTGGAGAAGGCTTTTTAAAACAGGCACTTGGCACAGGACACTCGGAACAAAATCCAAACACCGTGATCCAAAATATGGGCGGGGCCGTAACACTGTCCAACCTGAGGATGTGGTCCCAGCTAGTGAATAGATAGATAGTCTATTGATCCCACAGGGGAAATTGTCGTGTTACAGCAGCATGACAAAGAGGAAAAATGGTCCACTCCACAATAAACAACAAATAACACAGTTGGAGTGCCACAGGTGAGGGCCTTCTACTATGACACAGCACAGGAATTTATATATTTTTATATTTACAACAGCGACACAAACAAAAGTAAGAATGAAGTCAGAAACAGTAAGAGTCAGACTGACATTGTGCAAACTGCATGAATAAGTCCTGTTTACACTGTACATGTAAGGTGTAACAGAGACGTGTTTGGGATGTTGTGTCCTCAGAGTGCGAGTGCCACGCAGACGGCAGCGTGTCTCCTAGATGCTTGGACTCGGGTCTTTGTCAGTGTAAAGATGGAGCCACGGGGAGGCGCTGTGACTCCTGTCTACCTGGATACACCTGGAGAGGAGGCGGGGCCGGCTGCACAGGTACACAGAGGGGCTGAATATGATGCGCCTCATGTTATCGATGAGCTAATTGGTGATCGATGATCTTTCACCATCAGCAAACGTGTGCGACAGTGAGCGTTTGGTCTGTCGGAATGGAGGAACCTGCGTCGACTTCCTGCGCTGCATCTGTCCTGAAAACTTCACAGGTAAACACAGCTCAGGTGGTGTAGGTGGGTTGGGAGATGCAATGATGTCACAGAACAACTTGATGATGCCACGTGCCCCTTCAGGTTTATTCTGCGAGCAGAGGGTGTGTCTGAAGAAGAACGGCTGCCTGGAGAACGCTGAGGACTCCGCCTCCTCTCTGGCATCACACCTTTACCTGCTGACCTTCGGTCTGATCACCGCCACTTTCTGCTGACCCCGCCCCCAGGCACAATGTCCCATAATGACATCACCTGGGACGATGTGATTGCAACCAAATGTTTTTCACTGAACTTCATGTTTTTTTACGTTGTCGTACAGGATATTACATCACAATCTTATGACATCACATAAGGCCCTGCACCTAAGACGATCATCACATTATAATTTTAGGAGATCAACAACAGGTCACTTTAACCTGACAAATCAGAGACAGCCGAACTCTGCAGGAAGAGAGCTGCCTCAACCCTACTCTCCCTCCAGCCCGTCTTCTCCACATCGTCCTCTCCACCCCGTCCTCTGAATAATAAAGGTTTATCTTATCTCCTTCTCCCCCTCCTCCTGTGCGGTTCAAGGACTCTTTAATTTGTATGGATGAAGCTCTGCAAAAACATCGTCACCCATACTGCACTTGGAGCTCTGACTGGTGCATACGTCTGAAGGTCAAACTGAGTGAAATCAGCTGATCAATACGTTACGTGTCCTCTCTATATGTGATGAAGATTATTGACAAAGCCGCTGATCGCTCGCCCAGCTGCAGCATTGATAAATGGTGATTCTTTTTGTGGCAACATTTTAGCTTCATACCTTTTTTAAAAATATATATTTATGTTTTATATTCCCAAAGGTTGATTCTGTTCATCTGTTCATCAGTGGGAGAAACATTTCATCATCACCCAGTTGACTTCTTCAGTCTCAGCTGACTGCAGTTTCCCCAAACCTTATAAACAGTACATTTGCATAATGACTGAAACTAAAAAACTAAACTAATACCAAAAATTGGTCGACCCCAAGGATCATGGTGCACGCTGTTAAGTGCAGGAGGATTGGCAGGATTTATACATCGGGGAAACCAAACAACCTCTGGCTACAACACAGAAGAGCCACCTCGTCAGGCCAGGACTCTGCAGTCTGTTTACACCTACAGGCCAGTGGACACTCTTTCAATTATGAGGATGTAACATCCTGGACAGGGAGGAACGCTGGTTTGAGGGCGGAGTCTTTCCCTTTCATTTACATGAAAAGGGAAAGACCATCTCTGAATCGAGGAAGGGGGCCTAAGGGTACATCTGTCACCATCTACAATGCTGTGATTGCAGCCATTGCAGCCAGATTTAAACCCAGTGGGAGTTTTAAATCTGGGACTCTCCACCATTTGACCTTAGAACTGAAGAAGCTTCTCGGATGAGAGGTGAAATGTCTTCAAGCAACTCAAGAAGTCCAGACGCTTTTCTTTCCAAGCTCCTTAGACTACGATGACCTGGATGACTGAGAACCTTCACAGACATACCTGGATGATTGAGCATGCATTAATATGTTTTATTATTGTGTTATATTTTATTATTTGTTTTAATACTGACACGTTTAACTATATGTAATCCATTATGGTGAAGCTCAGGGATAGATAAGATAGTAATTACAGGTAGTTTTCTTAAACATGGCCTCTGATTGTGTTCCACCCTGTTAGGGACGTTTACATATAGACCATAAATAGTTAAACATGTAAATATTGATCAATAGTGACTTTAGACAAAGTATGTCCCTTTTGGTAATATAATGTTTTATTCTTGAAACTGTAACAAGTTATTTAATAACATATATCACAGGTCTGTATTATACAAAAACCAGTTTATTTTAACCCATGTTTTCCGACGGCATGGAAAATACTTGCAGTTTTAAAAACATATACATATGTGTGCATTTAATGTTCCTGTCTTCTCAACTTGGCACAAAAATTTTCACAACGCTTATTGGTACTGTTCAGTAATCTTTTTCATTTCATTTCATAAAAACATTTTTCCAAACAGGATGGAACATCAGTGTTTTCAATTTTAACATCTGAGTAAATGTAATGGAGACCAGGGGTTCCATTACCTTGTTGGCATTGTTAATGATAAATGGGTGGATTGGGAATTTAAAATAGGGTAATAAAGAAAACACATTCGTTCTTATGGAGTCTTTTATTAGGTTTATTTTGACATACGATTAAATTGACAGCTTGTGAAGGTGAAGAGACAGGGGGACTGGCCTACCTGTGTCAGAGAAGAGCCAAAGTTAGAGCTGTTTACAGTTAATCATATGTCAATAACCTAAATATATGTGAAATGAGAACTTATAAAGGTACTCACCTGTCCTGGCTGCTTCTTGCAGGATGTGGAGCAAAAGAGTGAAAGCGGCTCAATCACCTGTTTAAGAGCTCCTGGAGCAGACCAGTGTGCCAGGTTAGGGAGTGTGGTTAAAGAGGGTTTTAATTTATAAAGTAACGGATGAAGCTTATGTTATTGGTTTGTTTATAGTACGTGTTGGAAATATGTATATGTTTGTTATGTGCTTTAATGTTATTGTATGTTTGCTTGTGTGGAGGGTTATGTTTTCATGTTGATTAGTTAACCCCATACTTGGGCTATTCCGGATGCTCACCTGAAAAGGTAGAGTATAAAAGGAAGGCATTTTGTTTAGTTGTAGTTAGTGTTTGTGCTGTTATCATGCTCCTTCTTTAATAAAGTGCCAATCCATGGATGTCTTTTACTCCAGTCTCACATCATATTATTGGACAGTGTAATGTGTAGGCTGTGTGCAGACAGGAATAGGACCCAAGGTGCAGACTCCGGAGCCAGATGTGAACTCAAAACAGCTTTAATGTTAAACTCAAATATAACATAACTGGAAAAAAATCAAAATAAACTTATACCGGAGGACTGACAGAACACACAGCTAGGTAAACGGTAGATCGCGACACAGAGAAACACAGGGCTCAAATACACAGAGGAAGCAATCAGGGAATGGGTAACAGGAGGGAAACACAGCTGGGGCAAATCAGGCCTAACGAGACAAAGGAAGCAAAACAAGACACATTAACATCAGACATGGACTTTCAAAGTAAAACAGGAAACCCATAACACAGACTGAACAAAAGACACAGACTCACATGCAGGCACTACAACAGAGGGAACAGAGACGTGGGACCAGGGCAGACAGACACTGACTGGACACGGGGATATAGCAACTAAGGATACACAGAGACGCGAACTAGACAAGGGGATACAGCTGACAGGGGAGACAGAGCAACTAGAGAAGACAGAGACATAAACCATAAGACAGAACTCAAAGAAACCAAAGACTAGAAATAATAAATAATAAACTCAAAAACCCTGGGTCAACGACCCAAGCATCCTAACAGACAGAACCTATGACCGCCAGCCAAAACTGACAGTAAACATCTACGGTTCATCTTTGCTTCTTATATGTTTGTTCATTAAAAAGTACGTCAGAAACAAGAAACAAAAAATCATTAACAAAAAAAAGAAAACATGCAAGCAGCTGTAAAATACCAGAATGGAGCACACAACATCAAACATGAACAAGGACCAGTAACATAATTCAAGGAATACGCCACCTTTTCATAAAAGCACAAGTTGAAAAGTGGAACAAACCATTTAGGAACAGGTCCATACCATTAGCTTAGCACAGTTAGCTAGTTTGCAAAAGTGAACCAAAAATATCCTGAAAAAAAAAGTAAAGTGAGAGTGACCGTTGAATCTTACCTCATTTTCCACAGTTGAATTCCCTCCAAAAACAAATGATGTCACTTCCTGTGTTCTCCCACAGGGGCTGTAGTTTTTTAAGGCAATAAAGCACATTCTAACAGGGTGTAAAATTACTACTGGGACAAGTACAGTATGAAGAAAGAAGTAAAGAAATTTTACCAGATTCAATTGCATAGCAAAATAAAGTTTAGTATAGTCATCAAATGTGTGTGTGTGTATATATATATATATATATAAAATAGTGAGAGAGAGAGAGAGAGAGAGAGAGAGAGAGAGAGAGAGA